GAAAACCCCAGAAGGTAAGGAACAGAGGCTGACCTGACTGAAGGTCCTCAGGAGACAGCACCTGCAGAGACAGAAGGATAGTTTGTCCTCTGTGACAACATGCTGGGGCTCAGTGCCTTGGGCAGGAGGGTTCTGCCAGTGCCATAAGCTGCCCCAGGGATGAGCAAAGGGCTGGTGTGATAGGCAGCCACCTGTTGCCAGCTGTAAGCAAGGGCAAATCCCCAGAATCAAGGGAAGTGAAGTGAAGGACCAGAGGCAGCCCAAACCAGGTCTCTGTGACACTTGGTCTTCAGACAAGTCCCCATGAAAGCCAGTGACACTGCACAGCTGGGGTTCTCTCACCTCTCCCTGCAGTGCCAGGCCACTCAGCAGTGTGTCCACCTCCTGGGCCAGCAGGGCTTCCTTCCCCACTGCCAGCTGGGTCACCATCTGCCAAGAGACACCCCAGGTCAGCTGCTCTGCCCAGATCCCTGGGAGACACCACTGCCAAGTGCTACTGGGGGAGCCTGCACCACCTGTGAGCCCCTTTGCTGGTAAGGATGGCAGAAAGCTCCAGGGCTGTGCCAGGAGTGGGCAAAGCCAGCCCAGCCTTACAGACCTGTTCCAGTTTCTGGAAGGAGCTGCAGCTGCTGGTTGCCTCCATCTGGAAAGCCAGGACACAGCGAAGAAGGGGTCGTGCCTCTGCCTCACCCAGTGCCTGCAGACCCTCGCTCAGCGCCCGTGTCAGCTGGAGAGCCTCCTCCAGGTGCTTCTCTTTGCATCTCTTGGCAGTGCTCCTGGAACGGGACAAGGACAGGGGTGAGGATACCCCGGCTCGGTGAAGTTTGTAGTGGGGGAATACCCCGACTCAGTGGGATCTGGGTTTGGGGTGCCCCAGCCTGCGGTGCTGCTCTCTCCCAGTGCGCTCAGCATTGCCCTGGAGCGGGGACGGAGGGGCGGCGGCAGGGGGGGAGCTACACAAAATCCTCAAAGCCCAGCGCCTGCAAACCCTTGGTGGGCAGAAGGGCACGAAAATCCTAAAACCTGCAGTCCTGCTGCTGCTGAGCAGGCTGGACGGGAATGGGGAGCACCGTGAGCGTGGCTCGAACCATCGCTGGGTATCGATCTGCCCACCCTCCCTTCTTCCCTCCCGACCCGCGCCCGCGGCATGCACGGCCGCTACACGCCGGGGGTTTCCCGAGGCAGCCGCCACCGGGGGATACCGGGAGCTCCCTCCCCGGGGCCCGCCCTCTTACCCCGCGAAGTGCCGCAGGCAGCGCAGGCAGGAGAGCACCGTGGGGGCGAGGCCCCGTGAGCCGTAGAAGGCGGCGCAGGCCCGCGCCTCCCGCTCGGCGCCCATGGCGGCCGCACCACAGAGCCGGGCCCGCTGCGGCGCTCGGCGGCGCCCCCTGGCGCTGTCCCGGCGCAGCACCGCCCGCAGCGGCGACCGGGACCCGCGGTGCTTCCCTCATTCCTTCCTTCGCCCTGCTCGGGACCCGCGGTGCTTCCCTCATTCCATCCTTCCTTCACCCTGCCCGGGAGCCGCGGTGCTTCCCTCATTCCTTCCTTCACCCTGCCCGGGAGCCGCGGTGCTTCCCTCATTCCTTCCTTCCTTCACTCCGGCCGGGACCCGCGCCGGCTGCAAGGCAGGAGTTTAGAAGCATCATCATCCCAAACTGTTTCCGTAGTCGGGGAAAAGCGAGACAACCCAGAACTTCCGAAACCCCGGTGCTGCCTGCCGAGCACAGAGGGATTTGGGCAGTATGAGGCGGTGTAAGATCTCTGAAATGCCAACTGGAATGCTCCAGGGCGAAGCAGTTGTCAGATTCCATCGTGGTTCATTGCGGAAGAGGAGGTTTGGTACCCCACGTCCTCCACCACGGACACCATCTCTGATAGCCAGCACCGTCACTCGTAGTGTCCCTACTAGCAGTATCACTAATAACACTGCTACCCAGTGGAGAGATTCCACTTCTTCCTGTGGAATAAAATGGCCTTTGGGGAGAGAGACATGTTTATTGTAATTATCATCAAATCAAAATGAGTTTATTGGAGCTCTTAATCTTATTTGGCACAAGGCTGAACAATTTTAATTGGCAATATTTTAAGATCATCTTCAAAAGCCAGGGGTCCAGGTATGCCCTGACTGCTGCCAATATCAATGAGTCAAAGAGCCCAGGATTTGTCCCAGGTAAGGCAGAGGAGTGCAGGAGGATGGTTACATCCCTCAGATGTGATCCTCCATTTCCTCAGCATCACAGCCACCCCACACTGGTGATAGGAAGTGGGGAGAAGTGCTGCCAAACCAGAGCTCCCACAGGTGCCAACGCACAGGCAGGGGCAAGGCAGAGGAGGGTGCTGCCATGCTGTAGGGTTTCCAGCACTCCTGTTCCCATCACCTTGTGCTGCCTGCAGAAGGGAGGGGCAGAGGAGGGAAAGGGGGATTTTTTTCTTGTTTCACCATAGGAAGGATTTTCAAACCCTATAAATTCACTTTTGACAAGTGAACAGCTAAAGCAGATTAACCTTTTTGCTAATCCTCTATAATGGCTTTGGAATCTCCTTAACCAATAAGAAAATTATAAGAACCTGTTTCTTTTCTTTTTATCTATATCTATATTGTCCTCTCTTGTCTGCATGTTTTTTCTTTCTTGTTTTATTTTCCTTTCCTTTTCTAATATGAAATAGCCCAGCGATCCTATCTCCCAGAGGCTCAGTAAACAGTACATCAGAAATCCCTTTCCTTTATTCCCCTCTGGTAACAGGGTGCAGAGAAGTGTCTGCCGATTGGGATTTGATTACCAGCAGCTATCAAAAGTCTCTTTGTACAATCTGGGTCCTAAATCCCATAATTCTTTGATAAAAGAAGTATTACCAGTCCATTTTCTGTAGTGAAAGGTATGGGAGGAATGAAAGAAAGCAATCAGCAGAGATCCTAATAGGCTAAGTGCATGTGTGGTAGGAAGGCAGGGCTGGGACAGGATGCCCAGGGAAAGGCATCCTTTGTTAAGGATGGGGAAGGAGAATTAATCCTCTTCAGGCATCTGAACAGAGCTGGTTGGATCCTGCCCCTGCCCATGGCACGTCCCAGCTCACCGGCTCTGTGGCCCCTCTGGACCAGCACAGAGGGGAGAGCAGAACCTGACCCCACATCCACACCTTGTGTCAGTGTTTGGGTACATGCATAAAAGCTGGGAGCAGTTTCAGTGATCACTGGAATTAGGGCATCCCCAGTGCCTGTCTGGAGCACTGACACCTTGGCAGGGCAGAGTGAACACATCCAGACTGAGCAGCTACAAAGGTGCCTTCCTCCCAAAAGGTAAAGATTTGCAGAGCTCAGTTATAATCCAAGTTACACCATTGGAACAGCTGAAGGAGAGGCAAATAAAGGGATGGAAGGAAAAGCAGCAGTTTGGTTTGAAGTGAGTCACAAGTAGAACAGCTATGGGGCATCTCTTCCCAGCACTGAGGGGCCTGCAGGTGAGGAAGGACAGGCAGTGAGCAGGGATGAGGAGAGAAGGGAGCTGAGAGAGGCTCTCCTGGGGAGTGGCTGTAGGTTTTTCAGGGTGCTGGAGGCATTGCTGAGCTGTCCAGGGTCTTTGGTGTGCAGTTGTTTCACAGCACCCACCCGTGTGTCTCCTTGGGGTACCACGAGTGGGACTGCAAGGAAACACCAGGTGTGAATGCTCCCCACATGAGCTCCAGGGCCTCACTCCTCACCTGGGCTTAAACTGCACTGAGGGCAAGGGAACTTGGGCTTAAACTTTGCTAAGCAACCTGATCTCAGCCACACCTTCTCTATTTTATTCCCAGCTACTCAGTCAGTTAAAAACACAGGATCCGAGATGTGGATCCAGATCCTCCTCCTGTGGATCGCAGTTGCCAGGCCTTGCTGTTTGTCCTTGGGAGGGGCAGAGCCAGGCTTCCCTTCCCATCCTGAATCTTGGCCATGGCCTCTCCCCAGCTTCTCTGGCTGGGCAGGAGCTGGGAATTGAACTGGCTTTGGGAAAGTTGGCTGTGGTACTGTGTCCACACTCCTGCCTGGATGGCTGTAGGACCTTGCTGAGAGCAAGCACACAGAGGCACCAGCAGCAACAATCCTCCCCTTCCCTTCCCCACACAGAGCACGGCTCAGCTGCATGGGAGGTGGTTACATGCCACTAAGCTGTGGTGCAGAGCTGCTGCAAGCAGTTTGTAATCTAATTTACTAAGGGCTTTGAATCCTTACAAAGAGTATGTTGGATACATGCAAAGCATCTGCATTATTACAGTGATTAGGGCAGCAGAGATGGGGAAAGGGGAAGGAGGGAAAATACAATTTCTCTGCTTTCAGCAGAAAATAAATCAACTTTCACAGAGAATTCTGGCAAAGCCAAAGGCTGTGCTGTCATTAAAAATGATTTTTTATTAAGCTGAACTCTCTCTTCTCTCGTATTGTATGATATGACAGCTCTCTTTTGATGGGAAAGCTTTCATTTGGCCAGAGAAAGGGATAATTTGCTTCTTTTAAGGAGTTAATCCTCTGGTCCATTTCCGGGCTGGGAACAGCTATCCTCCCCCTTCCTTGGATAGGAGCTGCAGCACAATGGAGATCATAACCACCTCAAATCTACACCCGAGATGGAGAAATCAGATTTCCTTCTCCAGTCATTTTTGTGGGATTAGCTAAATCTTAGATCCACACTAACCCTTCACAAAGCTGCCAAGATTAGTTAGAATTTATTTTATTTGCAGGGGGGTTTACGGTTTTCTTTCCAAAGGGATTATATCTCTCTCACTATATATATATTTAGAGTGGTTTCAGTCATAACACAGCTAGGTCAGAGGGAGGAAAAGAGTGTGTGTATAAAATAAAAACTCAGCTTCAAGAATGACAGTCACTTGAAATGCCAAGACAAAGCCATGGTTCTGGATGGCTTTGCCAGTCCATTTTAAAAGCTATCCTTTGCCTAGCAAAACCCCACTAGGGAGCCAGTGAAGGGAGAGCAAAGCCCCCCAGCTGGGCTGCCTGTTTGCCCAGGATGTCTGCAGAGCCAGTGCCAGGGGCTGAGGCTGCCAGGAGAGGCCTGAAGAAGCCACGTCCGTTCAGCATTGAGGACATCCTCTCCAGCCCCACGGAGAAGAGCCCCCAGGTCGTGGTGCCACTGTGCCTACGGAGCATCCTGGACTGCACACCTCAGAGGCCCTGTGAGCTGGAGACCATCCCAGCCAGCTCCCTGCAGGAGGAGGAGGAGGAAGAAGAGGAGGAAGAGCTGGAAGGGGCAGGCTGCAGCTGCTGCTGCTGCTCTCACACGAGTGCCCGTTCCCTGCAGGAGCTGCCGGCGTGGCTGGGTGAGTGTTTGGGTTTGGTTCAGGTGTCGGGCTTGCTGAGGGGCTGGTGCCAGTGCTGGGGGCAGGGGGAAACCTGGCTGTTAATGGCAATATGGCATCTGGCCACAGTGGTCTTGGGCCTGAGGCCCAGCAATCCAAGCTGTTCCTAGCAGGGCTCCTAAGAGTGGAAACTTTCACCAGAAATGCTGCCAGGGCTTGAAAAGCAGAGGGTGCTGACTGTTAGTGGATATTACTGATTAGTGTGAAACTCTTGAGAGAATGATGCTTCTAGGGGTGTAGGCTCTCTGTGGAGTGTGGGGTCCCATGGCCATGCTGCCCATGTGCAGAGCTGTGCCTGTGCTTCCTGACATCACCAGCCCTGGGGAACCACACCCATCCTTTAAGGAAAAGAGTTTTGGCTACATCTAGCAAAATTACCGTGGAAAATAAAAAGTAGCAAACCATTAAAAATGCAGTTCAAGAGCATCCTGAAAGTTCAGAATTCCCTTGTGTCAGGGCTGAAACACAGATCTTTGCTGGTCTGTGAGTTTGCAGTTATTTTCTGGAGCTGGCCATAGTGCAACTGGTAAGCAAACAAAGAAAACCCAACCAGCGCTCACCACCTGCATCCTTCTCCCAGGGTCATGCCCTAAACTCTTCTCCCACTTGCATAGCCACCACTCAGCTTGGCACCCACTCCAGGTGCCTGGCTGCCTCCTTCCAAACAGAAGCAGGGATACAACTGGAGCCTGAGCTGCCTTGAGCACGGTGAGTGTTTGAGCACCACCCCTGTAACCCTGCTGCTGTCCCTGTCCCCTGGCAGATGCGCGGCTGCCCTGGCCCATGCGGCTCCTGCAGCCGGCGCTCAGGGTGTGCAGGAGCTCCCAGGAGAAGGCAGGCGAGCTGCAGAGCCTGCAGCAGCAGCTGCAGCGCCGCACGCGCCGGCACCGCACCATCTTCAGCGAGGAGCAGCTGCAGGCGCTGGAGACGCTGTTCCACCAGAACCAGTACCCGGACGTGGTGACCCGCGAGCACCTGGCAAACCGCATCCACCTCAAGGAGGAGCGTGTGGAGGTGAGATCCTGCTGGGGGCAGAGCTCTTGTGTTCCTGCAGCCCCCAGGAGCACACACTGGGGCATTGTGCTGTCTTTTTTGGGGAGCTGCAGACCCACGGCCTCATTTTAACATCCATCCTTGTGCATTTGACAAAAAAGAGTTTAAGTCTGGTGAGCAATGGAAGAACATAAACCATTTCAGCTGGGCTAATTTGTACTGGCACCCAGTCCCACACACTCACATGATGCCTCTCTCCCAGAATCACCCACAGACATGCTCAGCTCTGCTGCTCATCCCCTGCACCCAAGGGTGTATCCCTTACCTAAGTGATCTGCCTGACTTCTGAACTTGTCCCAGCTCCCTTGTGCCCCTCACATGTACCTGAGCAAGATAGCAGCAGAGGCACTGATTACATTTTGTATCAAGCCTTTCCAGCACAGTACCTTACAGCCCAGGAGGGCCACTGCCTGTCCCCCTCCCAGTAACACCTGACATGCAAGAGCCCTTTTCCTGTTTTGCACTTTCCAGGTTTGGTTTAAAAATCGTCGGGCGAAGTGGCGGCATCAGAAGAGGGCGACTGCCTCGGCACTGACCCTGCAGGCCAAGCAGCCCCCCAAGGAGGGCTGTTAGTGCCCACAGGGAGCACCAAGCACCCCCTGCCCGTGGCTGACAGGCTCAGGGGGTGACCCGAGGGGGCTAATGCAGCAAAAGGGAACCTCTGTGGTTCACAGGAGGAGGACAGGTAAAAGCAGACATGGCACTGTCACATGCCTCTTCCAGACCGAGTTCACATGGCAAATGACTGAGCAGGCAGGACCTGCAGGGGACAGAGCTGTACCGGTGTTAAATCTGTGTGCTTTAAGAGAAACTCCCCTTCTTGTCTCTGCTCTGTGCACGTAGTATTTGTGCTTGTTTTATTGATGTAGATTTGCAAAATACTCTGCAAATGAATGTTTCCTGTTTGCAGCACCTCAGTGGCATCTAGAGTTGCTTTTGGGGTTGAACTCGCTGGACAAGTGATTTGTTTCAAAACAAAGGAATGCGGGTCTCTCCCCATAGCCCTGGGAAGAGGTGATGAACCTGTTGTGCTGAGAGGGCTGGCACGGGCAGCGTTCGCCTTCACCCCTCTGCCAGCCAGTCCCGGGCACAAGGAGCCGTGTCCGTGTTCCCGGCGGGGCCGAGGAGAAGCCGCGAGCTGGAAAGCAGCGACACCAATAAAAGCGCCTGGGCAGCCAGCCGGGGTCCGCTCCCCGCAGCCCGGGTGTTTATGAGACGGTGGGGGCGTTGGGAGGATCGGCCCGGCGCCCAGTCTGTGTCCTATCCCGGTTCCCATCCTGTCTGTATCCCGGCACCCATCCCGGTTCCCATCCTGGCTCCCATTCCCATTCCCACCCCGTGTGTATCCCCGTTCCCACCCCGGCTCCGCCGCTGTCACGGCCCGGGACCGCCCGGCTCCTCCGGACCGGCAGGGGGCGCGCGCGCTCCTCACGGGGCGGGGCGCGCATTCCGATCCCGCGGCGCGGAAATGTGACGTCACTGCCCGTCGTGTTCGCTGCGGCGGAGGAGGAGCCGGAGGAGCGGAGCGCTTCGGCCGCCATGGCGGCGATACCGGTGCCCCCGGCCTCTCCCGCCGCTCTGGTGCCGGCTCCTGCCGCGGGCCCCGTCGCCGTGACGGGGAAGGAGGTGGTGTCGCCGGCCGCGAGGCACCCGAAGAAGATCCTGGATGAGGAGGCCTATATCGAGGTAAGGCGACGGGCCCGGGAGCCTTCGCCCCGCCGGTGCTTGGGCCGAGCGCTTCCAGCGCGACGGGGCTCGGCTGGGCTCTGCGGGGAGGGGACGGCCCGTGGCCGCTGCCCGCTGCAACCGCGGCTCCGGGTGGAAATAACGCTGGGGCCGCCCCTCGTGCTCCCGCCCGTCCTGCGGCGGCAGCTCTGCCACCGGCCCGGGGCTGCCCGGCCTGCCCTGGCTTTGCACCGCTGACCCCGAGCTGGGCCGGCGCTCCAGTGTCCCAGCGGGGCACTGCAGTTGTCTCTGTCTTTGCAGAGCTTAGAGAAGATCATCCAGCGAGACTTTTTTCCCGATGTGGAGAAGCTGCGAGCACAGAAGGACTATCTGGAGGCTGAGGAAAATGGAGACTTGGAGAAAATGAGACAAATTGCTATCAAGTTTGGCTCTTCCTTGAACAAATCGTCGAGGGACACACCTGCACCCTGTAAGAACTGGCTCTGTGGGGCATAAGGGGTTTGTATCTGATATTGCTGCCCTTCTCTATCTTACTTTGTGCAGGCAATGCTTATCTTAAAGATTCAGGGTTGATGTTGCATGAGAGCTAAGTGTACCAGTTTGGGCAGCAGCCAATGTCTGGTGGCTCATGCTGAATTTCTCTTTGATGGTGTCTAATAACTCCTTGAGGGAAGGGTTTTGGAAAAAGCAGCCTTTTAATAATCATTCCTCTTAGGCATCTTTTGCCAAGTTCCTGCTCCCTAGGGAATGTTATGTGCTCTCTACCATGAGAAATTCTAATGTTTTGAATCCTTATTTCAGTTTGTAGTTTTAGGGGTTCTTGTTGCATCTACAGACATTTGAGATTTTCATGTATCAGGGACAGAAGGTGTGGGAAGCTCGTGTTTATCAGAGGTTCCCACACAGATATACTGGGCTGTGGCTCTCCTGGGGGTTTCTGCCAGCAGGAGAAAAATGTCTTAGATGAGGCCAAAATCTTGTTTGGAGGTTTAGACGGAATTGAATAGAGCACTGTGGAGTTCTTTTCACAAGTTTTTAATTTAATTTTTATTCTCTTGATATGACTTTTGTGCCTTGTTTGGTACATCATCCTTACAGGAAATCCTGTTGTGTGCTCCAGTAACCAGGTGAAATTTTTTGTTGTTTTGTTTTTTGTGGCAGATGTTACCCCAGCCACATTTGAAACCCCAGAAGTGCATCCAGGTGGCCTTCCAGTGGGAAATAAATCTAAAGCTGGCATCAAGACTGCAGAGGAAGGTAGGAGAATTATCTAGCTGAATTCTTCCAAAAATAAATTGTCTACCAGCAGTTGGCCACTTGTACATTTCACCTTTAAAATAAATTGCTATAAATGCCATAAAAGGGTTTATTGAAAGCTGGTTATATGTGTTCCAAACCTGATTTCTTACTGCACCACTCTGTGTGGATCTATGTCTTGGCCAAGCTTGATGGTAGTTATTGGTGTGTCTGTGGAAGAAGGTTAAGAGGTACACACGGGGCTCCCCTAGAGAGGGAGGCATTAACCTTCCTCAGGCTTCTTCCCTTCTCTTGGTAGGAGAAGCAGAGAAGGATGATAAAGATGCTCTTCCCAGCCTGGACACGTTCCTGGCGAAGCACACGAGTGAGGACAACGCTTCCTTTGAGCAGATCATGGAGGTGGCCAAGGAGAAGGAGAAGGTCAAGCACGCCTGGCTGTACAGTGCAGAGGAGGAGTACACCCGGGTAGGGAATGGCTCTGTTCTGCCCCTGCTCTGCCAGAGGGACTCAGCAGGGAAACACCGTTTCACTCTGCTTCTGCTAAGGCTCAGCTCCCTGGGTCCTGTGACTGCTCTTTGCTTCCTTGTGCAGTCCTGTTTTTCTGTCACACAAGAGCAGTGCTGACTTAGTTGCTGAGGCTTTGTCTCTTCTGTAAGTAGCAGCACCAGGGAGAGCAGCTGAGCACAGTTCCTGCTGTTTGTCCATCAGCCTCTCATTATTTGCAGTTTATCTGTCTTATTTCAGTTTTCAGTTTCTATCAGTGGTAACCTGCTCAGCTGCTGAGGCACAGAACTGAGCATGGCTGGCTGTGCTGCCTTCCTCAGCCCCCTGCAGGGGAGCTCCAAGTGCTGCTCTGGGCCTGCCTTGTCACTCTGAGCAGCTGGCACATTGATGGATGTGGGATGCAGTGCCCTTTCATGAAGTTTGGCACTGACATGTGGGTGTTTGCTGCTGTTTTTTTGAGAGAGTGTTATTTTTGTTATCCCAACTATCCCTCACAGTCTGTTACATACCTTATGCAAAGTGTTCTAGGGCAGGTGGCTGAGCTTGTGACTGAGCTCTCCAAGTTGTGTCTGCCTGAATAAAAGATTGCAGGAAGGTGCTTCAACTTTTTTTTTTTCACCTTTTAATTTTTTTTCCATTGCCCTTTCAGCGACAAAATGAAAACCTGGCACTTCCTTCAGCTGAGCAGCAAGCTCTGGAGAACGTGAAAGCTGGGCTGGATACCTGGGAATACACAGCTCGAAACACCCTCATGTATTATCCCACAGGTGAGGCATTGGCTCCAGACAGTGCTTACAGCATTTCTGCATGTGACTGAGCAGCTCTTACCGGTGTTTCTGTGCTTTTTCTTCTGTAAGGTTGCTTTTAAAAAGTGGGTTTTTTCCTTTTTTTTTTTGGCCTCTGATTCCAAAGTTGGATCATGTTCTATTTGCCATTGAAAAGCTCATCTCTTCTACAGCAGTACTTGTTTTCAGCAGCCAAAGTTCTTTCCTGGCCTGTCTTCTTTAGGAGCACTTGTTGTCATCTTCATTCATTGTTTGCTTCTGCTCAAAGAGTCCTCCTTGGACTTCTTAGTCTTTTTGTTGCTATAGAAAAATACATATTTTTGTAGATGTACTTTTCTTTTTTGGCTGTAAATGTACAGTTGATAATTTCTGTGAACCAGTGAAGGAAAGAGCTCTTTTTTAAAAGGCATTTTGCTTTTCTAGGTGTACCTGATGAGAGTGAAGTTTTTAAGAAGCCCAGGGAAGTTGTGCATCGAAACACACGTTTTGTGAAGGACCCTTTTAGCCAAGCTGTCAGCAAATCACAGCTCCAACAAGCTGCAGCCCTCAATGCTCAGGTTGGATGATTTTACTTCTGGTTCCAATCTAGTTAGGCTTTGCTCTCTGGTGTGGTTCATCCCCCAGAACTCTGTGTGTGTGTTGGATGCAGCTGACTCTCACCTTTCTCCACATGAACAACATTGTCTTTTTTTATTTCAGTACAAACAGGGCAAAGTGGGACCTGATGGGAAAGAACTGATACCCCAAGATTCTCCAAAAGTGAATGGGTATGGATTTGTGGCTACCCCCTCTCCTGCCCCGGGTAAGAGGGTTTTCTTATTTCTTCTGTTCTAACAGGAGTATTACTGCACTTATTTGATGCCCTGTTCAACACTAGAGTGTCATTGCAGGGTTAGATGAGGAGTAAAACCTCGTGCTGTGTATGCCAGCTGCATGCAGGGCTTAAATCCTAGTCCAGTACACTGGTAGAAAAAGTCACACTGCACCAAGAGGCCCTGAAGTTGCTGTGCCATTGCTCAGGAATCATCAAGCTGTGGGGTACTTCCAGTTAGAACAATCTGATTATTTTTCTGCAAGTTAAAATGTGATATCTGAATTTGCAGCTGTTCTGCCCCAGCCATGCTGTTTCTCTGTGCTTTTTGTGGTTATGCCAACACCTGAATAAACTGGGGCTTTCCCTCTGGGAAACCTGTAGGTGGCGTTTGGAGCACCTCCTTTCTCCATCGTAAATGCCTTCTCCAAACCCTGGACAGGGGGATTTTCCAGCCAGAGACTTAAATGGGCTCTGAGAATCCATTCCATACCTGTTAGACAAGGTGCAGCCACTGTTTGGTACAGGCT